CTGAGAGAACTTTTATCGAAACAGTCTTAGGTAAAATTGAACGTTTGACAGTAATTTTTTTCGGTTTCCACTTGCTGCCTTTATTTACAAAATTTACCTATATATTATATCTTGTGTGGGGTCTTTTGGAAATCTATAAGAATATATTGTTTTACAGAAAAATTATTTTTACAGTTCACATATCAGATAATGTAATAATAATAACAGATACTCACATATAAAAAGTAACTCCACAATTTTTTGCTTTGGAAAAACTACACGAAATACAGTTAACCATTTTTTAATTATATATATAGAAATATATTTATATAATATAATAGTCTCAATATAATTATAACAACCTCACGAGAGTCATGTAACCTCTTAACATGTGAAATAAAATCTTCCATAGTTCCATGCTCGATCAAAAGCCAATCAAAAGCTTCTACTATAGCGCCGTTTGCGGATAAACAGTGCGTTAGATGGTTGACTGGTGATGTCATTTCCGATTACAAATTTCTTACCCCCACCACCGATATGCTCTCTTCAGTCCTGCATGTATGTACTCTCTCTTGTCGTTCTAGTTTTTCAAAAGCTATCGAAGTGAACAGTACATTTTGTTGGTTGCTCTGCGAAGATTTATTATATTTGATTAAGTGGAATTACACACACACACACACACACACACACATATATATATAGAGCAATTAAAACAAGGTAATATTTGTTTTGTTTTTTAATAAAGTTATTTAATTATGCTACAATTAAGAAAGTGTCGAATGATTGAATATATCGAAACTTATCATAAAAGCATCGAATACAGAGCAAGCGAACGCGGCGAACAGAAAAGCCATATAATAAGAATTAAAGTGTTTGAACTTGAATTTATATGCTTAGATTATTGCATATTGAAAGATGTATAAAGGTCGGTATATATTCATAATCGGTTCTTTTTACTGATCTGTATACATGGAGAGTTTTTCAAACAAATCGACAAAGAAGTCATTTTCCATTTTTGTCTGTCATTGAATATCGAATAAAGACAGATAATGACTCGTGTGTCGATTTGTCTAAAAAGGTCTCTTTGGCTACGTTCCGTTTCACGCATGATGCGCATGATTTATCCTTTCATCTTTGTTTAACATGTAGTAAACAAAGATACAATAATATATCATGCGCATCATGCGTGAAACGAAACGCAGCCTTTATATGTATAGTGATCACTGTGATCAGTGATAAAAACCGATTATGATATACTGACTTTGAACATGTCGACATTCAATTTGTGTCTCTTAGCTAAAAAGCTTCCATGAATTACTAATCAGCATTGTCAAGGCGTTCTTAATTGGGGCAGTCCTGATCGATAACACATATATATTATGAATATAGAAAATACCTGGTAAGAACATAATGGAGTAAAGCATAAAAGAGGAGAGTAAAATAGTTACTGTAATGGATATGAGGGACAAAAGAATAGTGACAGATAAATTCACAGAATGTGAACGTTTTACTAAAGAGAAACCTGAGCGCGTAATTTCTTGGAAGCGTAGCATGTCCTTACTTTTGAAAAGATGGCAGAGGAAAGACAAAGTAAAAATTGATCAAAAACTTCTTTAAATACAGACCTTATTCTTAAAAAAAAAACTTTTTGATACAATTATTTTTCGCGGAGATATGCTTATTTAAAGTTATGCGATAATTTCGTTGACCATATAATTGTGATCCACATGGGTTTTTAATCAAGAATATAACTTTAACGGTTACAGTAATATTTTTGACACATTAACTAATTGTAGCGATATGCGTTGGCGATTCTCCCGAAGGGGAATCGACAGGAGTGGAGTAAAATAAAATAAGCTGAAGCTTGTTTGCAGTATATTGATTTATTGCTTAACAAGCAGAATGCCAGCGCGACTAGCACTTAGCCGTTAGTTGCGGTCCGAACGTTACGGATAATAGTGCGCAGAAAAAACGAACGAGTGGTTGTCTCTATGCGGACTATTGCAGAAGTGCTGCTGGCGGCGGTGATTTTTAACGCTCCTGGTTTTTAAACCCCCTGATCTTCCGGAAGATTCGCATGATATTCGGCACATCTGGCCTGCAGACGTTGTTTGTCTCGGTTGTTTGTCCCAGTTGTTTGTCGGTCAGTGGAATCTTCCGAAAGATAGGGGCGGTAGGTCTTTGTTCGCGCAAGCTCAACTGCGTCGCCTTTGAATCTTATAGGGAGATCGGCGCCGCGGCCGAGCCCCGCGATTCGCTGAGACGCCCACAGGCGAGCGCGCCAAATCGGCGAGCGCGGGTCATTTGAGCGGCGATATCGGCACAAAATCGCGACTATTTTCGAACACTAATTCTTTTTAGTGTTTGGAGGTTTTAATTTAAAGTCTTTTTTAATTATTCATATTTTAGTTAAGTAAAGGGTTATTTTTAATGGCCTAAAATTTTATTGTTTAAATGTCTTAAATCAATATTAATATAATCTATTTGAATATATAACATTATTCAACAAAATTAAAACAAGGATTACCTGTCCTATCCTTCAAAAATAAGCAGATTTAAAGATAGAATAATTTCATTAAAGATGATCATAAGATTTTCCAAAATCATTTTTAGCTTATAAAGTCTCCATTTTTTAATATCTTAGAAAACGATTAACTAATTTTTTTCCAAGCAGTATAGATGTAAATGGAGATACGACAAATCGCAAAAAATTTTTTCAAACTTTACAAAGTTCTATGAATTAAAAATCGTACATAAATAGGGTATAAAAAGGCCTTGCTTCAATGCGGCATAAAAAGGTTTTTGTTTCACTGTTGAATAACTCGTTAAAAAAAATCAACAAAGCTTAATAAAAAAAGCAAATTAAAGGAAAAGATTCACTCTTTTAAAAATTATAAACCGCATTTATGTATAAAATTTTTAATTCACGCTATTTAACTTTGCAAAGTTCAGAAAAATTTTGCAATTTGTCGCATTTCTATTTATATTTATTACATTATTACAAACAAAAATATACCGAATTCATTTAAAATCATATATTGTTGAGTATTACTTCTAATTATAAGTCACTATGGAGTGAGTAAAATAAATTTAAATTATATAACTTTACATATCTAGTATAATTGTAATAGATGTATGATATTAATTGTATATAATTATATATACATATAATTTTTGGTACACATATACATATAAAAGCATGTTCGAAACCAGCTTAAAATTCAGCGCAACACGCAGGTAGCGGCTGATATCTCGCTTCGGAACTTTCCACACGGCATGCTTGATGGTCAAACGACCGACAAGTGACTTTATTTGTCTCCTTTTTAATTTGCGAAAACAACTTGTTTGTCACTTGCTCGACCGGAAGTGCCGAGGCGAGATTTCGGCCGAACTGAGAGGGGAAGGTGGAGCGAGCCGACGCTGCGTGAGGCAGTCTTCTCGCAACCGACCCTCGCGGCACTTGCTAACGATTCGGTAACGCGGCTTGTACTCCTTTTCTAGCACTCGCTAAAAGTCTAGCAACGATACTCTTATTCTCGTCTTTCGTAAGGCGATCTGATTGGCAATTTGCACTCTTGTGCGGTGCATCGGATCGCGCTTACCTCTGTAAATATTGTAAATAGTCAAATTTCGCGTCAAAGAATAAAGGTGTTCGTGTACAAGTGCGCTCAATTTATTAACAGACACACATTTCCACGCTCGTTCCTATCTCGCGGCATTTATTCAATCATCGCGTACACGTTTACTAAACAAAGCACAAAATTTAATCTTCGTCTTTTATTTTCTTTCAGAGAGAGAAAATGATATGCCAATCTCATCGTTTACATTTTAAGGATAATAATTATTCCTATGTAAACAGAGTATCCGTAAAAGAGACAGATTATGTTGACTTCACTTATCAATTTGTAATGACTATATTTTTGTACCCAAAATAATATTATAAGTTTTCAAAAATTCTCTAAACTTTAAATAAGAAAACCAGCAATATGCCAGATCCAATTGTTGTAAATGTTGACATCTGGGTAAAAAGTAATCAAATAATTAATTGTGAGAGAGATTACTGTTCATACACGTTAACTCTAAGATAATTGAACAACCTGTCAAAGTTACAAAGTATGAAGATTTTAAACAGGTATCTATTATGATCATGCATATTTTCTTCCTGTCATTACTATTCACTCATTCTTATAAATCGCAATCTAACTTTATAAGATTTTGTAGTATTTGACATTTTTCTGATTTATTTTTTAATACAGAGAATTTACGGAGCATTGCAGTCGTTTACGAAAGTCTACAATTGCAGACGACGGGATCGGCGTCCCAATAAAGGACCAAAATATATTGGTAAGTAATATTTGAATTGATAAATAAGATATTGTTAAAATACTATTGTATACATTTTTGTTAAAATAGATTATAATTATATTTTCTTTATTGAAGCTAAAGAATTATATGAAGCCTGTTACCCCATCAAAATGTCTCTTTTTTATTCGAATGAGCAAGGTTGTACTAACGAATTCTATGGATTTAAGCGACTTTGGGCACACAAATCTGATAACCAATGGGTTCTTTTATCGGATTCTTCTTCGAATATTTTTGACATACCACGAGGAACTGTTCCGGTTTTACAGTCGTGCAGTTTTAAAACGAAACTGCTTAAATTAGAATTTTGGAATAACTCTATATTAAACTCAGAGATAAATGGTGCAGCAATTATGCTTATTGGTACGTCAGAATTTATACTTCCTAGAAACCCTAAACAGAGCTTAAATCACCTATTAGATAGTATTAGCCAGAAGATTAATCACAACAATCCTGACATCTTTAATACAATAACAAATTTAGGTAGAGATCCACATTTGGATATACTCCACCTTCAAGAAAACTTTGACGAATATTGTATCATTTTTAAAAGATATTATAATTGTTGCTCAATATTCAATCTTTTCTTATTCTCTTAAAACTAAATATAAATTTGTTTCAATGTTATTCGCAGCGATGTAATAAAGAGTTTTTATAAAAGTGAATTTTACTGCAAGAAAGTGTCTCAGATGACCCCTGAAGTGCTATCTTTTAATCAGGGACATATGCATCGATTTTTAAAAAATTATTTGAATAATGAGAAGTGTGTGAAAGATATCAAACCTTCTTTAGATGAATCCAAAAAGCTATCGTCTTGCAATTTTTCTGAGCTTCCTGTAAAGTATTTTAAAAAATATATATTTCTCATAATAAATAAATTATTATTTTGTGTAACAAAAATTATATTTTATTATTGCAGGATAAAATAATAGTAAAAATAATGAATAATTTAGATATGATATCATTAAGTTGCATGAGCAGAGTAAATAAACGTTTCAATGATTTATCATGGGATAGTCAGCTGTACAAATGTTTGAATTTCTGGAACATATACTTAACGTGTATGAACAATAATCTCTCTCACAATCAGTTATTTAGATTACTTTTTACCCAGATGTCAACATTTACGACAATGGGATCTGGCATTTGCTGGTTTTCTTATTCAAAGTTTAGAGAATTTTTGAAAACTTGTTGCGAGAATTTAACACACCTACGATTCTGCCCTCAATTACCCTCAGTTTCCAACAATTCGTAAGTTTCATCAAGTTTAATTCTACGTGATATTTCAGAGATATGTAAAAATTTGAAAGGTATATGTATAAGTATGACTGTTATTATTACGGATAAATTATATATGACTATAATACATATATATTTTAGAAGCCGTTATTACCCAATTGGATTTTGGAAAATATATTAGACACATTAGTGTTACCAAAATTAACATTGGAGGTAGAGGAATGGAATCCTTTAATTGAAATTGTACCTATTCACACATGGATTCATCCTTGGCTGCTGTTATTACGTAAGTACATATACTCATTTTTTTACATCACATTTCACATATTTGATTATGGAATTTTGAATTAACGTTGTAATAATAACTGTTTTTTTTATGTTATTTAGAAAATCGTTTAGATACTTTGATTTATCCAATAATACGTAGAAAACTTGAATCTGCGTTAGGAGGTTGGCATCCATCAGATAAATCCGCTAAATTAATGCTGCAGCCTTGGGTAAAGGTGTTTGCCAAAAGAGACATGAAAGCGTTTTTAGTCAAAAACATTATTCCAAAATTGCAAATAGCCTTGTTCGAGTTTGTGATAAATCCACAAGAGCACTCAGATCAGTGGAAGTGGGTGTACGAGTGGGAGGAATTAATCCCTGTCAATATCATGGCAGGATTACTTGAGAAATTCTTTTTTCCAAAATAGTTGAGAGTTTTGGCACTTTGGCTCAATCATTCGCCTAATTATAATGAAGTCGCAACTTGGTACGTGGATTGGAAAAGAATTAGGCTAAGTGACAAATTACTAGCGGAAACAGTAATAAAAGGTACATTATACCTATAATAAATTTACATCTTTCTCACGTTTTGACGGTTAGTAAAATAAGAAACAAATACAATTTACAGAGTACTTTAAAAAAGCGTTGGTCATGATAAATAGGGCACACAAAATCAATGGGCCACAAAATCATCAACCTGAAACACTAGAACTTTCATATTTAACGAGCTTAGATCCAACAATATCGCAAACGGCGCCGATTGCGCAATCAAGAATGGAGGTAATTATTCATTTAAATTGCTTGATTGTTGTTAAATAATAACTCAAGTAATATACCTACTACTATTGTCTATATATAATTTTAATACTAATGTTTTCTTACAGAAATTAGCAGAGGCAGTACGAACAGCCCTGCAAATTCCGCAGAGTTTCAAAGATTTCGTACAAAAGCAATGCGAAATGAGAGGTATATTGTTTATGCCGATTCCGAATAAATACAAGGAGGCTAAGCAAGTGTACAAAATTGGTAGTGTTCAGGCAGTATTTGACAGCAATATGATTTGTGATGACAGCAGATGACTTGTTTGTATATAATGGTACAAATTGGACACCAACGGATTTAAATATCATGTTGGATAGGGAACTTTAATATGTATTGTATTGTAAATATATATATAGTGATTTTTAACAAGTTTAATATATAGTATAGATACAGTATCTTATTTAAATAGCGGTAATGAAAATTAATATAACGCTATAATTTTTTTTAAAATTATTATCATAGTTTTTTTTGGAAAATCTTGTTTATGTAAGACAGGTTACAGTAAATGTTCCTGTAAACGTTATTTACTTTAAAATGTAAGTAAATATAGATCCACCTTATCTGCTATTTTTGTTATCGATTTATTTTAATAAAGGAACCATAATTAATAGGGTTGCAAATAATATATTTTATTATATTATTTAAATTAATATTTAAATTAATTAACACATGTAAACGTTATTCGCAATGCTAATAACTTTACTTAATTTCATTAGTTCAAAACTATAAAAAGCAACAATTCAATTGGAAAAACCTACCGTTTGATGTTTTATTAATTGCTGTTATTAATTTTATTTATTCAAATAGTTTAGAATTATCAGTAATTTATTAATAAACTTTCTTCGGATTTAACAAAAAAATGAACTAACAAAATAATAAATTCCTTTCAACTAAGCTTACTCTACAAATAAAAGATAATACAAAGTCGCACAATAATTTACTAATTCATTGTTATTTATATATCGAGCGGTTCAGCTATTGAAAATCCAAACGTTTGTATAATATCCACTCCTTTCGCCGGAAAATTAGGCCTAGGAGATTGCATCGTGACTCTTTGACATCGTATAGGTCTTACTTTATCTTTTAAATTTATGTCGCTGTTGTAAACATAAATTCTTTCCAAGGAGCGCCCACGATAATATCTGAAATTAGCAAAAATAGCATATTTATTTTTAATGAGCTTTCTGATAAGCGTCTTTGAGTTAATTATACAGCTTCAGTTTATTACCACCAGATATTTATACAAATTCATATATATTCATATATATTTAGTACCTAAATTAAACGGTATAGAATTGGACGTTTCGGTTACATTTTGAGCCATACTTAGCGATAATTCTTTTAATTTCATGCTCTTGGATTAAGATAGAGTAATAATTCAAGATGTCATTCCTGATTTTTCACCATGATTTCAAATTCAGATGAAAACCAAAGCGAAAGACAAAACAAAAAAAAACGAAAAGCATAAAAATGCAATATATATCTTTCGGAGTAATAAAGTAAAATTTCTCAATTATGTGTTAGAAAGGTCAAACAATAAAATTGTAAGTAAGTCCAAAGTCAAAAATAAAAATTTTTATTTCGTATTTTAACGAGAGAAAATATGCTGCTTAGCATATATTTGTCAATCAATGCATTAACGCATGATTCTCATTATTCAACTTTATCTACAATATATTCCATTCATATCTCACATTAGAGTGAGACGTAATTCGTGGTATAAGAAAATGATGACAGTTCACATAAAATCAGTAAAAAGGTGTACAGTAGTAAAATGTTTTTCATATAGATACTTCGTTTTTAAGAAAATTGATTTTGAAAATTCGTCAGATACGCCTCAGATACGACTAATTACAATTTGGCTCATCGTACCAATAAAAGCCATGAAATTAAGAAAGTAGGAACGCATTAGAATCCGTTTATGTTTCTTTAATTCGTCAAGCAGATCTCTTTTTGTGATAATGAAGGATAATAAAAAATTAATAATTTGTACAAAAACTTGTGTTATTTAAATCATATCACGGTTGAAGTTTGTAAACGCCAACACGAACAGAAATGAATCGGTAACGGAATGCTAAGTTTCAGTATTCAATCATAGGTATCTGACGAATTTTCTCTCAATACCAATTTTCTTGAAAATAATTGATTAAAAATTTACATCGATTGAATCTGATTTTTTTTAATGTTGATAGTATGCACAAAACAAGATGTAACCTGTTCATTTTTTGTCTATCTCACACATTTCTTATTTACTTCATATTTTTGTAACTATATGTTGCTTCTATTAAGTGGAACTATAAAATATTGAAGAGGTACGCTTTATGAGACCGGTACGCATTCGGTAACTTTTCTCTATATTATATTGAGTATTGCTTGCACGGCCGATACTTGACTGTGTAATATGAAAAGTATAATATTTTATATATAAATTATATATTTTTCATTTGTATACTGTACCTGTAACTTATATAGACTCATACAATGATGTATATAAATGATTATTGTGATTATAATCAATTATATGATCAATACGTATGTATATTTTTTTTAGAATTGGGTCTACGTAAGTGTAAGTTGATAAAGAATAAGGGATTCTCTTATCTCGAGAATCTGGAGTTTCTCGAGCATTTAGATCTGAGCAGAACAGATGTAGAAACTTCAGATTTTCGATATAAGAGAATCCCTTAACCTTTATCAACTTATACTTACGTGTACTTAATATTTAAACATATTACTATGTATATATGCTCCTTAAGGACATCAGGCGCTGTATCAGTGAATCTTTTGATCTCCTTATGTGGAGCATAGAACTACAAGCCTCTTCCATCTTATTCTGTGGTTCGTCCGATATCCGAGGCCTGTTCGAATTAATTGCTTTTCGGACTTGCTGGTGATTGGCCCACAGAATCCTATCCAGCCGTCAGAGTTGTGCTGACTGTCGGTTGGCCGGAAGAACCGGTGGTGGCCGATTTTTATTTTATTTATTTACTTGAGTTCTAGGTGGTTTTGAACTCGGGTCT